GTCAATAAAAGAAGTAAAAGAAAAAAATAAACAACACACGTAAAATTAAATAAATAATTAACCTATGAGTCAAGTGTTATACCATATCAAATGTTGCAAACAATTATAAGTTACAATGTACTGTATAAAATGCTATAAAGTATTTATACACAACCGTTTGTCATTGTCTCGTCTTTAATAGATAAATTAGGTAGTAGAGCGCATACGACAAGATAGCCATAAGCATTTAAAGTTCAGATGTTTATGAAATACGTCAAAATTGTGAAAATTTGCATGGAATTATGAAGTTGAAAATTCATAAAACTGTTATAATTTATACCCTTTTAAACCTAATACAAGATTCTCCATAACTTTTTCTTCATATAACTGTAAAAAAAAAAACTCCAGAGTCAATATAGAAAACATTTGTGAGTGTATAAAATTTATATTTAAATATTGTGCGTTTATAAAATATATTATAATTTAAATATAGGTAATATAATTTATCCTAGACTGATAAATCATCTCCATTCAGAATTGTTTACTCTCCATTTTTAATATACAGCAGATTGATACCCATTTTTTTTCAGGTGATATTTTTTGTTTTGTTTTAGACTAATAAATTAGATTCCCGATTAAAATACAATACAATTTATAATTAATTAAAATTTTATCAATAATAAATATTATAATTTTTTAATATTTATAAATTTTAAATATAATTTTATAAATAAATAAAATAATAATACTGTTTGGTATAAATTATATATTTGAAGTTTTAATGAGCTTTATAGGTATACCTTTGGGTTTTAAGTTRCATAAATGTTAGGTTGGTTCAATACTTAAAGGGTTTAATTAATGACTAGTTTTTCACAAGAACTCAGAAATTAGGCACTATTTTTTCCCTATCAACAGTATCAATTAAACATATCTTATATTGGTAGCTACTATAGTCATGCACAGGTCATCATAGAAGTGAAGATATAGTGCTTGCTGTAGTGGAAAACATTWAAGGGTTAAGGTGGGATTAGATCTCAATAAACCTCAAAATTACTTAAAATTCAATATTATTTATACAAATCATAATAATATATAAAAATTGTTAAAGTACAAAATTGTTTAGACATAATTTCCTTAAAAATAAACCAACTTATTAATATTTTATATTTTTCCTCATCCATATGTTTTTAGAACTCTGGAGTGCTAACCTTATTAATATTAATTTACAATAAACCATTCATCTAATAGATAATTAATATATAAAGGTTATTAGAAATAATARTTCACTTATTTCGGGTCAATTTTACATGTATCAGTTGCAATCTAGTTATATCGATGACATGGGTCTTGCAAGAATAATTGTACACAAACTGATTACAATATATATATATATATATATATATTTCATCTCAATATAAACTGCTTACAAGTATGATTGATAAGTGAGAAGTAGAAGAAGGTTCAAAAACAATTCTTTAAATATTTAATTATTAACGTTTCTTGAATTGATGAATTTTTAGTGTCTAGAGTTATTTGTTAGTAGTTTAGTGCAATCAAAGTAAATATGGTAGAGTTAAACAAATTAAAACCCAAAAAATAGACTACATGCAAATTCGCATTCAGCAGTTCAAATTGAGTGCKGTTAGCTGAAACATTTTAGGTAAGAACAGTATCTAGGCTTTCTTTGTTTTTTATTTCGTTTTTTATAGTACTTAATTTTTACACAAGTTGTATAAACATTTAAAATATAAAATATTAATGTTTAGAAATGTTTATAACTCACAAAAAATAAAAACTGTAGAACYCTAATAAAAAAACACAGATAATGTTTTAGATACCTTTAACTTTTAAGTTAGATCTTAAATACCTACTCTACCTATATTAGACCAAAATAGTATTGTGTACAGATTATTTTAAAATTATTTAGATGAGATAGCAGATAATGTTTTGAAAATTTATCCAGTTAAGATACCTCTTTTCTATAGTGAAAGATTAATTGAATACAAAAATTATCTAAATAAAATGATAAGAGAACTGTCTTTTTATCTAAAAAAAACATATGAATATACACAGTTTTTAAAGACTATACATTAAATTATAATGTACATATATATTTATAATCTTTTAGTTAATATTTATTATTTTATATAAAAATACAATATTAATTTAAAAATTTAAATTTAAAAAAAGTTGTGTCTAATGATTTAATGAAAATGTATTGCACCTAATAAAAACATAATAATGAATGTAAATTATATTAAATCTAAAAAAAATTTACAATTGAATTTATTTTATATCTCGGAAGATGTCTTGTGAACTAATTGTGGCATTTAGATGTAGCATTTGTATTTGACATTTGTATTTTTATAATTCAAATTGTAATAATTTAAGTAAAACAAAAAATAAGTGAAATTAATAAAAATATTATTTAACTATCAGCAGATAATCAAATAACAGTTTTATTTATTTGTTTTAATTAGATAAGATAAAAAGATAAATATTTTTATCTAGATAATGCTTAACATTTGGTCAATTCAYTMTAATATTTAAGCTAATAACATCAAATTGGAACTGCAGAACATCATTTTAGTATGTTTACGGTATTGCAGGTATAACATCAGCTTAATGTTATTAAGACATAAGAAAATACCTATAAATTGTTTATCAAAACCTGTAAAGAAACACAAAGTTTTTCATAAATCAAAAAAAAAAAGATGCAATTTTAAACATTAAATAGGTATACTATAAAATATTTTGAAGCTAAAATTCTCCATTCCTTTCCCTTTTCCCTATGTTACYTATTCATTAAGAATCCCAACTAAAAACAAAAAAAATTATATTGATATTGTTTTTATAGAATATTGCTCGAAAAATAAGAATATTATTCCTTGTGTTCCTTAGTAAATATGATAGGTCATTTAATTTTCTATGCAAATAAACACTGTTATTTAAAATTAAAAATGATTTTAAAATATTTCATCAACTGTTATTATGTATATTATGTAATATTAATATAGGTATTTTGTACAACATAATRTAAAATATAAAGGGTAGATGTTCATGCGTTTGCATATTTWTCTTTCTTTAACAATAGTAGTTAGAGTAATAYAGAAATTTATTTTGTAACCTTTAGAATACAAATATAAAATTTCATGTTGCATACATATGGATATTTTGAACTATTCGTCTTTAAAACATATTTTTGTTATTTTAATTCATGTTTTGAAATTGTATTGTATATTTAAATTTATTAGCACTTTATAGGCATTTAATGAACAATAAAATAAGTGAATATTTAGGGTAATTTATTATTATTTAAATTTTACTACAGAAATAGACCTATAAAACCACACAATACATTTAAAAAATGTTAATATACTTTYTTTTGGATAATTTAAAACTGTTTATAAAATTCCTTTACTAAGCATTTTTGATGTACCTGTTTTTTTATTTAAATCGCATATATCTGGTTAAATTTATTTTCTAGTGCAGAAATATTTATTTTATGTTTTTAACAGTTCTAAAAAAGAATATTTAATATTTTAGTGTTTATTTTGATACTTTGTTGAATATTTTAATCTTATAGCATATATGTTGATATTTTATAATCATATAATTACTAGGGCTCGGATTTTGTAGCAAAATAAATCCTTAAAAAAACATTTTAAGTAGCCAAAAAAAGCATTTATTAATTTAATTCTAAAAAAGCAAATTTCAATTACACATAAAATTAAATATTAAAAAAGGAATTTACAATCATATATTTAGTCAAGTTATTTTCATTAAAAATCATTCTATTTGGTGCTAATATATTTTTATACATAGAAAAAGACTACTACTAATTGTCCATATCTGATTGACCATAAAGTATATTAAGGAAAATGTGTATTAAAGTTTAGAATAAATATATTATACTAAATTATATATCATATATTTCTATGACCTTTAATTTGTGTATATTCTTACTAACTAAATATTGTTGTTTATAGGTCAGAATTGTTTCAGATTTCATCTTACATTCACCTCCAGGCGAATTCAATGAAGTATTCAATGGTAAAAAATTAAGATTACATTTTTTTTACCTTTTATTTATTTATTTGTTTTTTAAATTTCAGATGTTCGAGGCCTAGTTAACAATGATGCTCTTCTTAAAGAAGGAACATGTTGGTAAGTATTCTAATAATAATTTTTATGATTTCTATGAATTACATCATATTATGAATATTATTTCAGGGCATTTGCCTTATACAATAAAGAACAAACATTACCTGTTAAGATAGAAAACAGTGAATATCCGGTGCTTATTACTCAATTTAATGATCTAGGATCTAGTAGATTTTATGATCCTAGATCTAAACAATCATTTAAGTTTGATCATTTAAGAAAAGAACCATCAAACTATGAGGTAAGAGTGTGTTGAGCTGTATGTTTTAAATTTAACTAGCTAGCTAAGTAGTATTAAGTATCAAAAGTGGTTTTTAAATTGTGATCTTATAAATGTTTTTTTATTTAAATTTGTTTTTGTTTTTTTATGTATTAACATTTTTAAGCCCCCTCTCCAAAAAAAAAGAATTTGTGAAAAAAGTGGGTTTAAAGTGAATTTGTAAATTTGATGTCAAGAAATAGTGTAACGGAAGTTGCGTGCACAATCATTTAACTCAGTAGCCCAAGTATACTTAGTCATRTTGACATGGTGTGTGTATGCAAATATCACATGATATTTTCTTACTATTATTAATCATTGCTATTTATCATAAAACACTTAAATATTATTATTAAGTACATTTCATAAATTATAACACTTGGTATTTACATCACTCATAAGTCAACCTACATTTTTTTAATAGGTGCAAGTCGTCAGATTAATGTTAACACATCAACATTGAGTGTCAAATACAAAATCTGCCACACACATGTTTTTTCTCTATAAAATCAGGCAACTATTATTTACCTGTTAAAGGAACCATTTTAAAAAATAATTGTAATTTATAACATAAAAATAAAAGTGA